GTAGAAACATATTTGTTCCAGTACGTTGGAGAACATAATACAGTAATATTTAAATTTTAACAAGACAATGCCTCTATCCATCGCAGTGCCAGTACTCGATCATGGTTTAGAGACCACAATATTCAAAATTTCATACGTCCAGCTTATGCTCCGGATATAAATCCTATGGAAAATGTATGGGGAATACTCGTCAGTCGAATTTATCGGAATGATACAAAATATTCTACAGTTCAACAATTTTCATTGTAATTAGTTTATAAACAAATGGTTATTTATAACGGAACTTATGCTTCTTATCCTGCAAGCAGCATTATTTTTAGAAAGGGTTACAATTCATCGTTTACGTAAATATTACAAAAATTAAGTGAACTTGTAATGTTCAGGAAACAGGCCAGTGTAGGTGTAGCCTGGTCGAAAATATTAATCATAATGCTCGATGCAATATGGTTGAGCTAAATAGATCACCCTCGACCGACCGTGCTGCAGCGTTATACAAAAGAGCGTCTTGTTGCGCAACCGTGGCCACTCTGAACAATAGTTCTCGACTAATTGCATGTTCGTGACGTATCGCTGGCTATGAGAAACAAACGGTTTCGTAGAAGCCGCTTTGGGTCGATTTCCATTGATTTTACTGCGATGCCAGACGACCCTCGTTTCGAGTCGCGAATGTAATACGCGCGAGCGTCGAGCACTTCCTGTTCACCTGGCGATGGTAGCAAAGAAGAAAGACTCCAATAACCCAAGTGGTTCTACGACAAACAATGAACTCGATCTACGAATCGAAACGCTACAGAATTCTTTTGAATGTTCCATTCGAACAAGTGTACATTGGAAACGCGTAAAAATTCAAAGGACAATAGTAGAAATTAGCCATTTTTTATCTATCAGACAATCAAGGTTTTTCGTAGTGTATATTTCTACGGATCTTAAGGATTCCGAAATACGTAATTGTTTACCAGGACCAAAATAAGCTAATTTGTATCATTGTTCTTTGTAACATTGCAAGTTACTATAGAATAACCTATTGATATGTAAGATGAGAATTTGAAATCTTCTAAACAATATAAATCTTAATATTTGGACAACTTTGATGATAATGTAGAAGAAAACTATCAATTGCTCTTTGTAACATTGCAAGTTACTATAGAATAACCTATTGATATCTAAGATGAGAATTTGAAATCTTCTAAACAATGTAAATCTTAATATTTGGACAACTTTCATGATAATGTAGAAGAAAACTATCAATTGCTCTTTGTAACATTGCAAGTTACTATAGAATAACCTATTGATATCTAAGATGAGAATTTGAAATCTTCTAAACAATATAAATCTTAATATTTGGTCAACTTTGACGGAAATGTAGAAGAAAACTATCAATTGGTCTTTGTAACATTGCAAGTTACTATAGAATAGCCTGTTTGTACCTAAAATAAGAATTTAAAATCTTCTAAACAATATAAATCCCAATATTTGGTCAACTTTGACGGTAATGTAGAAGAAAACTATCAATTGGTCTTTGTAACATTGCAAGTTACTATAGAATAGCCTGTTTGTACCTAAAATAAGAAATTCAAATCTTCTAAACAATATAAATCCCAATATTTGATCATCTTTGACGGTAATGTAGAAGAAAACTATCAATTGGTCTTTGTAACATTGCAAGTTACTATAGAATAGCCTGTTTGTACCTAAAATAAGAATTTGGAATCTTCTAAACTATGTAACTCTTAATATTTGGTCAACTTTGACGGTAATGTAGAAAAAAACTATCAATTGGTCTTTGTAACATTGCAAGTTACTATAGAATAGCCTGTTTGTACCTAAAATAAGAATTTGAAATCTTCTAAACTATGTAAATCTTAATATTTGGACAACTTTCATGATAATGTAGAAGAAAACTATCAATTGCTCTTTGTAGCATTGCAAGTTACTATAGAATAGCCTGTTTGTACCTAAAATAAGAAATTCAAATCTTCTAAACAATATAAATCCCAATATTTGATCATCTTTGACAGTAATGTAGAAGAAAACTATCAATTGGTCTTTGTAACATTACAAGTTACTATAGAATAGCCTGTTTGTACCTAAAATAAGAATTTGAAATCTTCTAAACTATGTAACTCTTAATATTTGGTCAACTTTGATGGTAATGTAGAAGAAAACTATCAATTGGTCTTTGTAACATTGCAAGTTACTATAGAATAGCCTGTTTATACCTAAACTAAGAATTTGAAATCTTCTAAACAATATAAATCCCAATATTTGGTCATCATTGACGGTAATGTAGAAGAAAACTATCAATTGCTCTTTGTAGCATTGCAAGTTACTATAGAATAGCCTGTTTGTACCTAAAATAAGAATTTGAAATCTTCTAAACAATATAAATCTCAATATTTGGTCAACTTTGATGATAATGTAGAAGAAAACTATCAACTTCGAAACATAAGTAATATTGTTTGTTTTTTTCTCAAAACTTTTCTGTATGTGTAAATATTACATGTTCTTTGTAAAAGAATTGTAGATTATACAGCTTGTCCCAGAACGAATTCTACATGGAAAGGTAAATCGGAAATGTAAAATAGTATTTGTTTGCACAATGGTTCGTTTTCGAGGAAATCCAGTAGAGTAAAGCGTGGTCATGGGTAGAAGTAGAAACAGTGAATAATGGACAAACACACCAGTTGAATCGTACACAATTGCAAGCGTACACGAGAAATTTTCGAATGCAATTATGTCGCTAACGAAGCAACATGCGAACAAATTTTATTCTACATTTCCGATTATCGTTGCATGTAGATGCATCGTTCGCCCGATTTGGACACCGTGTACAAAACGTAACACAGAGTTTCTCGAACTTCTCGCAAATTTTTGACGGACTGGTAAAATAGAATTCAATTTTTATTTTTGTAACATAATTTAAAACGAGTCTTGTAAAAAAAGGTATTTATGCTTTAGTATTTACTGGATTCAAATAGTTTCGTGAATAGAAATTTTTTAGGTTATGCACCAAACCATTGGTCTTAGAATTTGTTCGAAACTGTATAATAATACATTTTTTTATCGAATGCACAGCTGTATATAGGCATATATAGGGTATAAGAATGCACGTGCAGAGCATTGTTTATGTTAATACAATTTACACAAACTGCAACAAATAAACGTAAGACCGAATACCAAGAAAAATTGATAACACCCACTGTAAAACACGGCGATGGCTTCTAATACTGCTTAAATGTCGTCCATGTTGAAAATTTATTGCAATGAAGTTCATAGAGTCGTTAAAAGAGAATTTGTTTTCCTATATAGAAGAATTCAGAAATAATAAAGCGTTTCAACGCGACAATGATGAAACAGTTAAAAAATTTTTGGAAAATAATAACATATTGGTACCGTCTTGACCACCTTAAAATCTCGATTTAAATACAACAGAGCACTCGTGAGGTAAGTTGGAAAGAAACGCCCGATAAAAGGATCGATGCACAAAACTGCAATTTATAAAATCATTTTAATATGGATGAAAGAATAGTGTGCTAAAAATTCGGGATACTTTCAAAGGGATATAATAATATTATTAACTTAATTTCCGACATCAATTAATCAGGAAATATTTGTTAATTTTATTATTCGTATTTTATAAATTAATAAATAAATAAAAAGTTTATAAACGTCGATTTAAATACACGAGTCTGGATACATAAGATTTGACAGTTTCTCCGATCATCGCATCGCATTCCACATAAAATTTCTCTGCTCGAGGAAAATTACGTTGCCAAAAAGCCTTTCGAAATCGACGACCAAACGCGAACAATGCGCCTCGCGACCTCGAACGTTCGATAAGAAACGTGTAATGCCATTCTTTGAGGAGATCAGACGGACCTCGAGAAGCGACCACTCATTGTCGGTGGCGGCTAATCGTAAGCGTTTTCCGACACGCGTTTCCAAGAAGTACGTAATGTTTCTGCCGTGCAACGACTGTGATTACGTTCGATGGTATCACGCCATTATGTAGTTTCGCTGTAAATAATCCTCGCTGTGGTTGTGGGAACTTACGACCAGGCACCGTCTAATAACGCGTCGGCTCGAACAAAATGAACACGGCGCAATAACATTAGCAACAACGATTGCCATTTTTCGCTGATAATTCTTTAATCAAAATGGTATCTGCGGACGATTGCTCGTATTGCGTAACGTTCGCGATTATACGGCCGGATCGATAAGAATGCTCTTCGATCGACTGGAAATTGTTCGACGACGCAATGATACAATTGTTCCGGCAAAGTGGATGACGATTTTTAATATATTCGTTGGACGAGGACGACGTCGATTTAATTAAAATAGGAAGTATCGATCGCGTCTAACGCGCTTGCTCTAACTTCTCTTGCCGGTTCAACCAAAGATTCGTTCGCTTAATCTTTTCGATAAGCTCTGCGGGTATTTTTCACGAAGGAATAAACGAAGGAAGTTTCATTTTAGTACCGTTAAAGTTACTTATATTCGAATCGAGAACGCAATATCGACAACGTCCACAGGTATACCGATGATAATTATGTTGACGTTCCATGGATCACCTTACAATTATTACACAAACAATATTATAAAAACAGGAACTGCATACTTGTTACTATCACCCGTGTATCTTCGACCATGTTCAGGACTTTCGTTGATATCTTCATTGAAAATATAAACTGTTTTTAATTTTTTTTCTTGAGATTTCTAAGAATACGTTCCATAAGATCTACAAAATTTTTGTTGAAATTTATTACAGTACGCATACTTTTTAACATCCACGTTGAATATGTTTAAAGTAAAGTAACCGAATCCGCCGAACGGTCAAATGTATCGTATTTTACCGATAACGGTAAGTTCCTGCATCGCTCGAGTCACCCAGGGTGATCCGTAAACGCGACTCGCGTATTCAATTAAACATCGTTGATCGTTACCATCGATACTACCGTAGCCGTGTAAACCTTTCACACTAACTGTATGTTCTATTGCAGACCTAGGGAACCCGTTCTTCCCTGGTGGTCCTGAATTGTGGCACCATCCACTGGCGTACTCTACCGCTGGCGAATTACCCGGCACGCTCCAACATGCGACGCTGGTCCATCAGGCGTTACATCCTCAGGTCCCCGTACGTTCCTATCTTTGACTATCTGCAGACAAAGCTCTGGAGCCGCCGACGAGCGCCCCGATGCACGTTAGTGATACATGATCGTTATACTCGATTACTATACGATACAACTAGAAGGTAGACATGCACGTAGAGAATACGAGACCAGCCGTCGACGGCTAGACCTGGCTCGATAACGGGGGTTACTTGTTCAAACACCAGAACGTTCAGGCTGTTCCACCTTTGGAAATCAAAACCGTGAAAATCCTCGGCACGCGCGGTCATTTTTAACCGTCTACCACCATTTAGTACGTTAAAATACTTTCCGCGGTACGTGTTCGATCTATGCGAAAATTTTCATCCTTTTTTCGAGCGTTCGTATACAGAATGGTTCGACTATCCCTGGGAAAAATTTTAACGAGCGATTCTAGAGGTCAAAATGAAATGAAAAACGTTAAAATTTCCGCCTGTAGATAGGCAACCTGCATACATCAAAAGTAGAGTGAAAATCGTATTCGATTTCGTTATCCTTTTATCGATCGATTTGTACCGCCATTACTGATCAACAGCATTATTATATATTTTTAAGTTTTATATTTCATAATTCAATTTTTTATTTTTAATATTCATTTTTGTTTGTCTTTTCTTCGATCTTCTTTTATTTTCACCATTATTTTTTTCTACAAATGATATACAGGGTGAACGATCACACTTGGGAAAAATTTTACTGGGAGATACTAGAGGCCAAAATACGACGAAAATCAAGAATATCAATTTCTTGAGCGAGGCTTCGTTAAAAAGTTATTAACAAAATAAAAATTAAGAAAATTTCAAATCATTCTGGAAAAATTATTTTTGGCCGCTGGGATCAATTCTAATCATTTTTGCTGAATAGACACATCCCCGAAATCCTACGCATTTTCGAGAAAAAAATTCGAGTAAGTGGACCAATTTTTCGACAAAATTAAAAAATTTCAAATCGTTCTAGAAAAATTATTTTTAGTTGCGGGGGTCAGTTGCAATCATTCTTGGTGATCAGGCATACCCTCGAAATCCTACGCATTCTCGAGAAAAAAATTCGAGTAAGTGGACCAATTTTTCGACAAAATTAAAAAATTTCAAATCGTTCTGGAAAAATTATTTGTAGTTGTGGGGGTCAGTTGCAATCATTTTTGCTGAATAGACACATCCCCGAAATCCTACGCATTTTCGAGAAAAAAATTCGAGTAGGTGGACCAATTTTTCGACAAAATTAAAAAATTTCAAATCGTTCTGGAAAAATTATTTTTAGTTGCGGGGGTCAGTTGCAATCATTCTTGGTGATCAGACATACCCTCGAAATCCTACGCATTCTCGAGAAAAAAATTCGAGTAGGTGGACCAATTTTCGACAAAATTAAAAAATTTCAAATCGTTCTGGAAAAATTATTTTTAGTTGCGGGGGTCAGTTGCAATCATTCTTGGTGATCAGACATACCCTCGAAATCCTACGCATTCTCGAGAAAAAAATTCGAGTAGGTGGACCAATTTTTCGACAAAATTAAAAAATTTCAAATCGTTCTGGAAAAATTATTTTTAGTTGCGGGGGTCAGTTGCAATCATTCTTGGTGATCAGACATACCCTCGAAATCCTACGCATTTTCGAGAAAAAAATTCGAGTAAGTGGACCAATTTTTCGACAAAATTAAAAAATTTCAAATCGTTCTAGAAAAATTATTTTTAGTTGCGGGGGTCAGTTGCAATCATTCTTGGTGATCAGACATACCCTCGAAATCCTACGCATTCTCGAGAAAAAAATTCGAGTAAGTGGACCAATTTTTCGACAAAATTAAAAAATTTCAAATCGTTCTGGAAAAATTATTTTTAGTTGCTGGGGTCAGTTGCAATCATTTTTGCTGAATAGACACATCCCCGAAATCCTACGCATTTTCGAGAAAAAAATTCGAGTAGGTGGACCAATTTTTCGACAAAATTAAAAAATTTCAAATCGTTCTGGAAAAATTATTTTTAGTTGCGGGGGTCAGTTGCAATCATTCTTGGTGATCAGACATACCCTCGAAATCCTACGCATTCTCGAGAAAAAAATTCGAGTAGGTGGACCAATTTTCGACAAAATTAAAAAATTTCAAATCGTTCTGGAAAAATTATTTTTAGTTGCGGGGGTCAGTTGCAATCATTCTTGGTGATCAGACATACCCTCGAAATCTTACGCATTTTCGAGAAAAAAATTCGAGTAGGTGGACCAATTTTTCGACAGAATTAAAAAATTTCAAATCGTTCTGGAAAAATTATTTTTAGTTGCGGGGGCCAGTTACAATCATTCTTGGTGATCAGACATACCCTCGAAATCCTACCCACTTTCCAGAAAAAAATTCGAATAAGTGGACAAATTGCCGTTCTACCGGCGGAACTTTGATCGTTAATAACTTTTTAACGAAGCTTCAATCAACAAATTGGTATTCTTGATTTTCGTCTTATTTTGTCTCCTAGAATCTCTCATTAAAATTTTTCCCACGGTTTGGTCGAACACCCTGTATAATTTTATACTACGCATACAAACTACGAATTTTGGACAGCGTGAAATTTCAGAATTTAAATCTGTATAACAGACGTGTTTATTTGGTGCCTGGGAAACACGTTAACTGTAACGTGGTATTCGAACAAATTACCCTCGAAGACGAAACATTGATCAAACAGAGGAATCCTGAGATTTCGCGAAACTCGGTCCTAATGTAATAAGTTTATACACTGATGGAGAAATTGCAGACCGGAGTTGAAGGCAGGAAATTTCTGTAACTTAAGAAACACACGGTCGGAACCCGGGGAACTTTGTGTTATTTGATTGCACGTAACGATTCCAGTTTTAAGATCGTTAAAGTTTCCAAAAGCAAATTACGCTCGCGAGTTAATTATCGCGACTATAATTTCGTACGTAAATAAAGATATACCGTCTTTGGTTGTTTCGTTGCATTTTCTGGCGCGCTCGAGCACCGTGCACTGTTCGATGTTAGAACGATCAGAACGGTGTGGTACTGCCGGGTACGAATTCGCCAAACAGGAGCTATTGATTTTTAATATCGTCTAGCCCTGTGCCAGGTTCACGCGGGTACCTATCACGCACTATCGCGAAGGATATCGCCTGATGAAATCAAGTTCAATATAAAATACCAACGAATATCAAAAACGATTCAACTTCGAGCGTGTCTATTTTCATTGCTCGTTTATGCAATTTTAATAACATACAGTGTGTGCGTGAGTGTGTGTTAATTAATCGTTAGTCGCTTATTGCATGAATTTTCCTTGAGGGTTCCTAGATAAACTTCTCATTTTTTCGTTTCGTTTTGTGATTTTTTTTTCTAATGGTAGGTAGGCTATTTTGTATCGAAAGGAGGATGTTGAAAAAGTTTCAAAATTTCATTGAAATATATTCACTATTGTAAGAGTTATGGTCGTTTGAAAACTGGACCATTTTCATGGGGTTTTTCGCACTTTACGGGTTACAGAGAAGAACATTTCGAATAGTTTTGGAATTACTACATATTTTTCACTTAAATACGCGTCGTTTGCATTTTGAAACATTAAAATCCTCCAATCCGTTCGGAAATTATGATGTTTTAAAGATACGCATGAAATATTGGGAAGACATTTCTGGCCTGAAATTATATTTTCGGTGAGGAATTTTTTTCTCGGAACTGAGTAGGAATTCGGGGTCATGTCTAATCACCAAAAATGATTGTAACTGGCCCCCGCAACTAAAAATAATTTTTCCAGAACGATTTGAAATTTTTCAATTTTGTCGAAATATTTCATAACTACTCCAATTTTTTTCTCGATAATGAGTACGATTTCGGGGGTATGTCTATTCACGAAAAGTGATTGTAATTGACCCCCGCAGCTAAAAATAATTTTTCCAGAATGATTTGAATTTTTTTAATTTTGTCGACAAATTGGTCCACCCACTTGAATTTTTTTCTCGAAAATACGTAGGATTTCGGGAGTGTGTTTATTCACCAAAAATGATTGTAATGATCCCCGCAATCAAAAATAATTTTTTTAGAATGATTTGAAATTTGTTAATTTAATTTTTTAATAACTTTTTAACAAAGCCTCAATCAACAAATTGATATTCTTGATTTTCGTCTTATTTTCGCCTCTAGAATATGTACAATAATACTGTTGGTCAGTAATGGCGGTACAAATTGATCGATAAATGGCGGAAGTCGATCGAAAAAAGGATAACAAAATTGAATACAATTTTCCTATAAATAGTCAAATGACACATCATTACTAATTCAGCTATAAAAACTAGAGACTGCAATGAGTACATTTGAATTTAAACAAATGAATCAATTTTTTCCAAAAAATTGAACTTTTTTTAAAAAAATCAAACAATTGCCGAAAACCAAAACTAAACTAGGGTTGGTTTACTTTTGCGTTGCGATGAACTTAAATTAAAAAAAAAACAGTTTATTTTAATTCGAGCCTGTATAGAAAGACCCCCGAGATTGACAAACGTTCGTTGAATTTTATAGGAACGAGGCAGCATTCACTTCTGACTTAAAGAGGCCGCCATTTTCTTAACGGGAATAAAAATATCCCGCAGACTCCACTCGGCGAGATAATGAGACGGAAACTCGGCTAAATAGAGAGTATTTCATTCGCGAAATTCGCGGTTTGCTTTCATAAGCGTTTCTATTGTGAACAGTACACTGTCGAGATTTCCCTAATTCCGCCTACTATCGCAGCGCCTGTCCAAAAAAAAACTTAATATTCAAAAGACATCGATCACTTTGTGGACTCGTTTCGTTCGTACGGATTTATTTTTGCACGGTCGGTAACTTTCCGACTCCCGATTTACCGGCTGGAAATTAAAAGTATTTCGACGTCGTGCGAAGATTTCTTTCCGGGTTCTTATCCGTCTCTCTTCGTTCTTTGATCAAAAATTGATTCACCGTCCCGGAGTCCATTTTGGTCTCCACGAAGGCGGGATCGATTTCGCAACGAACGGCGAAAGAAAATGCAGCGGTGCAGCAACGCAGGATTTCCGAGACAAGTAGCGCAATACATAATTACACGGGCATTACCAGCGACATGTTATAACGTCAAATTACGAATTGATCGACCGTCGCTGTGTTCAGCGTTGAGAATAATTCCAACATCGTGTATTATTAAAATATTGTGTGTTCCGTTGCATAATCAGTACATCGAGATATGGTGTTTGAGGCACATTTCAAATGCAGATTAATTAAGCTAGGAATATTAACTCCCCGTCCGTTTGCGCATACGCGAGGAGAGAATTATACGCTTCGACGTACTCGAGAAAGGAATTTCTTGTTATTGAATCATTAATCGCGGGCCATAAAGTTACTGCAAATTATGCTGCATTTTCATTTGACACAGTTCTTGCGTTAATTAACGCACTGCAACTCGGTCATGGACGCCGATCTTAACAGTCGTTAATGTTTCAATAATTTTTTAATTGTTAACTTCACGACTTTTCTTATAGTATACGTACAATCAATTTCACAATATTCACTTCTATTCTTATTGTCTATTTTCTGAGATAAATATGTATTTATAATGAATGATTTATATTTTTTTCTAAAATACTGGACAAAATTTGATACCAACTTCTGGTTAGCCTCCGATGTAAATAGGAAATATATGTATAGCAAAGACGAAAGGAGTGAATCTACAGTTTCCAGTGTCTTAGAACGGTCTAACAACGCGTATTAAAAATAGTTAAACTTTAGACCTGTGCAGTTTCGAAACTACTCATGTTTTCTGCGTAACTGAGCCATCGTTGAAAGCGGTAAACCTTCCCCTTTAAAATGGTTTTTGGTTTTTATCGATACGACTTTCCATTTTTGAGATATCGTAATTTATGTAAAAGGTAATTTTTTAATTCCGCTGTCTCTCGCTTCCCGTCTCGGAAAAGGCTATTAACGCGTATTAAAAATACTAAAAGTTTAGACGCGTGCAGTTCCGAAACTATTAGTGTTTTATTAATTATTGATACATTGTTAGAAGCAGCAAAGCCTCCCCTTTAAAGTGGTTTTTGGTTTTCGTCGATCCGACTTTCCGTTTTCGAGATATCGCAATTTATGTAAATGGTAATCTTTTTAATTCGACTATCTCTGTCGCGCATGCGTGGACCTCTGTCGCGCGTGCGTGGTGCTGACCTACTACACACTGTTTACTATTGTCGCGTGCGTGGGATAAATGAACTCGCGAGCACAACAACGAAACGTAAACAAACCCTATCTCGGAAACTAGGCACCGCATCGACTTGAAATTAAAATCGCTATATCTCCGGAACTAACAAAGCTATCGACTTGTTCGAACGCTCATTTTAAAGGGCATTTCATCCTCTATCCAATGACTATACCAGCTACAATAATTTTTGCTGCCTTCTATGTTTATTTTCACATTTACTGTGACATACCCAAAGAAGATTCAGCAATTCCTACTGATCGTACGACTAGTGTACGATAAAACTGGATGAATTGTTTATTTAATTGAAAATGATTTAAATACAAGATGTTTGCGTAATTACTAGCCAGCACTTTGTCTTAAATAGTTGTTTTCTCTAGAACTAACTACGGTATCGACTTTGATCAAAATTCGTTTTCAAGGGCGTTTTATCTTCTATCTGATGAAAATTGAAAAATTTTTTAACACAAAATAGACGGATATCTTACGAATAAACATCGGAACACAACTTTCTATACGTATAATGCAAAAATTAGGAGTACGTTGCCTGGTAAAAGAGAAAAGAAAGACTGGTCATTTGACCGGTCGCGGTAGGTTCAGTGTTATAATTTTAAATTTCTTTGAATTTCAAACATAACTGTAAATTTGTTTAGTAAATGAAAATACGTCACATTTCGTATTTTCATCGTAACTTATTAACGAAGCATTTATGAATTTTTTGTTACCGTAGCACTCTGGTCTTATTTTTACTTGTATAACACGCTGCTGGAATGTGCACGAAAAAAATGGGGAACACCCTGTAGAAACAAAGAATTTTCGTTAAGCTTAATTCAATCGAGCCGGAATTGAGTCGCTTTCGTCGGTTTAGATTTATAAAACAATTTTCTAACGATAATAAAAATTTTCTTTTCCAGGCGCCCATGTCTCTGCCGCATCCTACGGCGCTGACGTCGATACACGCCTCGCTGCCCCATTTCTTACCCTCGCCGGCACTGGCATCGCCGGTGGGTTCACCCTCGTCCCAGCCGAACATAGCCGTCAGCAATGCACCGTGTTCTACCCTCTTTGTGGCGAACCTTGGCCAATTCGTTTCTGAGCACGAGCTCAAGGACATCTTCAGCAGGTTAGAGAACACCGTACGGTCGAAACGTTTGCGTCGATAGAACCGCGTGCGGGTCCCGTTCGACACGCACGCGACGATCACTGCGCGGAGAATCGACGCGTTCACGCGCCGTGCATCGATGAGAGAACGCGTTCCCTGCGCTTCCAGCGAATGATTTTTTCGTCAACGAGCAGACTCATAAACATAATCCCAAAAATAGCAAACGGACTCGGGAGTGGAGGGATTGAACGCTAGGGGGTGTGTGTGCGTGCAGGTAGCCCGAAACCCGGATACCCACCGTCGGAAAAGCGACGGACTCTCAGCGGAGTCCGATGCATCTCGGGACGATTCGGTGGAATTCGACCCGAGTTATATCGGGCTCCGCCTCGATTCGACGATTTTTTTACGGGGGACCCAAATTGGGACTATCGGAGTTTCTTGGGAATTTTTATCAAACGAGGGTATCGTTTTTACCATTCACTTCGAATCCATACTTTCAGGCCTGTGTTTCGAGAGTGAGTTTTTTTTTTGTAAAAATATTAAAAATTATAGGAGTTATGATGTAAAGACCGGCGAAGTCCTTTAAAATAGAAACGAAAACAGGGATTTTGTACAATATGGATGTGGGAATAATCGAAACTTGAATCGTGCAAAAATATTGAAAATTGAAAATTTGATCGACACTTTATGTTTTTTTTTTTTAGTAGGATAAGAAAATAGTGAAAAACATCGAGTTTTTAAGATCCTAGTTCGAATCTTAAAGACACGTGTGTCGAAAATTCCTGCCAATCGGTCGGCTAGAATTTGAAATATCGTGGCAGGCGTGTAAACGCTTCTTTTGTTAAGAAGACACTTACTTTGTAACTCCTATAATTCTGCATATTTTTATACCAAAATAATTGTGGATACTCTCGGAACACAGAGCTGAAAGTACGGATGCAAACTGAACGAAAACAAACTACCCTCCTCTAACGAAAATTTATAAGAAACCATTGAAAATACTTTGGTTTAAGGAATACCCCCTTAAAGAAAATGCGGTACCATGGGCAAGTAGAATGTGGACAACGTCGAATAATTTTTACTAACACGAGGAGGACATAGTTGGGCATAGTGCGGCAATGATTCTTAAAATGAACCCCAAACGTGATTCGTAAATTGAACATCGTAGCCAGTGAAGCGCGAAAGACGACATGAAGAACAATGCTTGTTTTTCATTCGTTGTTCGCCTCTGCTGCGCGAAAAATGAACGTGCCAACCCCGGAGCGACGTTCATTTTAAGAATCATTACTTGTACATCGAAAATATGTTGATACGCGTCCAAGCGTTTTTATCCCCCGGACCTTAATTTCGGAAACAGTTTTAGAAGTCACGAGCACAGCGGAGTTTTATTTTGTAAAAAAAAAAAAGTCTTCCACTCTATCTGAAGCTATTCACTGTCCAAAAAAGGTATATGAAATTAGTACCCCCGGAATAATAACATTTCGATTTCACAAATAATTAAAGAAAATTTGGGAACTCGTGAATTTCAACGAGGTTACAAACAAAATGTTGGCCATCGAGAGTAGGCGGTACGACGTATTAAAATAGCTAAATGCAGGGTGTTTGGCCACCTCTGGGTAAAATTTTAATGGGGGATTTTCGATGCCAAAGTAAGACGAAAATCAAGAATACCAATTTGTTGATAGAGGCTTCGTTAAAAGGTTATTAACGTTTAAAGTTCCGCTCGTACTGAATTTTTTTTTCGAAAATGCGCAGAATTTCGGGGGTATGTCTATTCACCAGAAATGATTGTAATTGACCCCCGCAACCGAAAATAATTTTTTCAGAACGATTTTAAATTTTTGAATTTAATTGTTAATAACTTTTTAACGAAACCTCCATCGACAAATTGGTATTCTTGATTTTCGTCTTATTTTGGCCTCTAGAATATCCCATTAAAATTTTTCCCATGGGTGATCGAACATCCCTGTATAAATATTATAGTAATTACAATAGAAAAGAATTGTTACAGACTTGAGCGTCTCAACCTCTCCAGTTATGCCTAAAACGCTCGTGTCATGAATACCAGTTTCGCTGGATGACGAAAACGATCGAATGGCGGGCACAATGTCGACTTATTTTCAATGTGGATTCGCTATGTGAAAGCTCGTGTCCTACCCTTGTTAGCCGTAAAACGTCTGACCCCGTACGATTCGCAACTCCTTCCAGGATTGATCTTTCTCTCTCCCGAACTATTATACTACGCGTATTATACTATTAACTAGCCTTTTACACTGCACTTTATATACAGGGTATTCGGTCACTCAGTGTTTACGATTTATTTTTTTTTTTTTACGTAAAAACTACGGTTTTTTTACAGTTGTATCATTGTAGCTGGAGGGAGTCCTGTAGAAACAAAACTATAAGAAAATTATAATCAAATTAGAATCTGAGCATTGGGTTGCCAACGATAAAATAAAAACCGTGTCCCTTATTTTCGATCACTTTTCGATCCTCAAAATTGCAATAAAAATCGAGAAACTTTACAGATGTGCCTTGTGATTCACGCTCTGAGAGAAATAGTTATTCGAAGAGCAAAATTTCTATCCAAAAAATACCGCTCGGTGTTTACGATTTATTTTTTTTACGTAAAAAAGCACTTCGGTTGTATCGTTGTTGGGGAGGGGTCCTGTACAAACAAAGCCATTGACCAATCCTCATAGTGCCCATTCGTCCTCGCGATCTCTCTGCGTTTACGACGCAATTTACTTTCAAGTTTCCTCTTTTCTAAAAATCAATCGGCTCGCCGGGGAACTCGCGCGGAACGAGACACGCGAACGACCCGATATATAAACGTGTAAAAAAGGCAGCAGGGTCCGTCGTGCAGCAAGTTCCAACGAAATCGTAAAGCGACAAAGTTCTCTGAAATTGTTGGAACTCAATTCCATCCACGGACTCTCTTTCGCCGGAGTAACGAGAATCTCGGTCCCTCGGCCGTTCATTCTTTTCCTTTCTTCCCTCCGCGAGGACATCGAATTACGAAAATATAATATTTCGCGGGACGCTTAAAGTCACGAGAACGTGATATTTCGCTCCTCCGAGGGCTGTTAAACGCGAACCTAATTTAACGGGGAAGGAAGAGACGAACGGTCGGGTCAGCCCCAAACTAGACCTGAGATAGATAGAGAGAGAGAGAGTGATAGGCGGAAATACGAAATTTCCTTCGGATACAGGAGAGATGGCTACGGTTTGACGATAACGTATCGTGCATCTTGATGCACGTAAACGCGCGGGACCCCGAAAATTGTAGAGGTTAGTCGCGCGCGTGCGTACGTGTGTAATTAACTCGAGCAGCTGCTTGCGAATTCATACGTAGAGCCCGGAGGTTTTGCGGCGTAACGAGATTCCGCGGACTAATTACGGCTCGGGGAAGTAGGACTTAGGGTACAGTCCGACGAATTAGCGGGTACGGTCGCGCAACGGTTCGATTTTCCCTTGATTCGCCGCGCTGGGCCCCGCCATAGACGAGGTATACGAGTGGATCTTACCGCCTTGTGTGGTATCTCACCCTCGCGGTCCAATCTGACTGCTATAAGGACCTGAGAGAAAATTCCCGGGTGATTTTAGCGTTCTCTTCTCATGGATAGCGGTCAAAAGTTAACTCTGTGGTGCTGCTTCGCTGGGGCGGTTAGGATCTCCTGAGAATCGTAGGAGGACAGAAATGGAAAAGAGGAGGCATGCTGGTGGACTCGTCAGTAAGGCTTTCTAGCAGGCCCTGCCTTAGACGACTGGAATATTGGGAAGTCGTTCGAGATGTGTACAGGGTGGCCACGCAATTGTTTCAAGTCATAACTCCGTTATTATTGCATTTACGAAAAAATGCCAAAGGAGAAAGATAAATGGTTCGAAGAGCACTACTTTTGTAGGCCCTCAAATTTTGTTTAGATGCAGCAGTGCATGGGCAATTAACAATTGCATCGTTTCTTTAAATTCGAGGAAGAAGTAGTTGATTCTAATAGTCTCCGGCAATAGTGAATGTATTTCGCTGAAATTTATTTACGAAGTAGAGCTCGTGAATACCTACAAAAAAGTATTGAACAACATTTGCGTAGAACGTAAAACAAATTTTCAAGAAATATTTACAGGGGCATTTTTCGGCGAAATTAAAAAAAATATTCAAATCATTTTGAAAATATTATGTTTCGTTGCAGAGATCAATAATAATCATTTTTGGTGGATACACATATCCCCGAAATCCTGCACACTTTCGAGAAAAAAATTGGAGTTGATATGAAATTTTTCGACAAAATTAAAGAATTTCGAATCGATCTGGAAAAAATATTTTCAGTTGCAACGGTCAATTGCAATCATTTTTTGCCAATAGACATCCACCCGAATTCCTGCTCGGTTTCGAGAAAAAAGTTCGAGTATGTGCCGAAATTTTTCGGTGAAATTAAAACATGTCAAATCATTCTGGAAAAAATATTTTCAGTTGCAGGGGTCAATTGCAAGCATTTTTTGTCAAAATACATACCCCCGAGTTCCTACGCAGTTTCGAGAAAAAAATTCTTTACCGAAAATATGCTGCGTGGCCAGAAACGTTTACGAAGAAATATGTGATTTCTTCTACAGTGTAATATTGTTGTTTAATTCAATCATACAACCCATTGCCCTGCAATACCAATATGTTCATTTCTGTAACCTGTTGGCAACGTTACGAGTGACACGAAGAAAATGATAATGGGGCTTTAGAGTCTCAGAGAAATGGGCCAAAAAAAAATACATTGGATCTAAGATCTACTCGTATACCTCGTCTGTGAGTTTCTAACCGAAGTGAGAAGAAAATCCTGACCGAGAGGAGACGCGAATCGAGCCCATTTAATACCGGAAAGTGGTTGGTCGAGGGCGAGGAGTCGTTCTTGGCGGAAAGTTCGACGGTTCCGTTCGCGGGATCGTTTCAGCGGCGAGCGCAAAGAGGAAATCGATAACGAGACCGTTGCGTCAGACACGGACAGCCGACGTCATATCCAGTTCATTCATCG